CACCATTTAATATCCAGAATACCTACAGTTGAACTAGCAGATAACACCAATAGTACCAATCTGTATTGGGAAAACCAATTTTTATACAGTTTCTGTATATTTTGAGTAGAGATATAAGTTAGATTGAACAAATCAATAGACTTGTGAATATTTGTTATCTATGTATGATCTATGTAGCATGCAACAGGCAATCAAATTTTTAAGTGCAATAAAATATTTGGGTTGGTTACACTTTGTTGTACGTATACACAACGTGTTTCACACCTCTGATAGTGTGACGTAAATGCCACCAAACTTAATACAAATTGCAAATGTAGTTTCAATTTTAAATAATTTATGTTTTTTTCGTAAAACTTTCACTGACGCCCCGTCGACATTAAGTCCAATAACGTTTGATGACTTGAAATAAATACGTGTAGCTCCACAACAAACACCAACATAGTTGACTTATCAAACACTATCAATAACCACCGAATTCTCAGTAGTCGGGAGACATTTCGTGCAAGATTGGCAGTTAAAAACGAAGACACTTTAGTGAAACTACGTTTTAACTGTAGTCACACTATAGTTCAGACTGCAATAGGGGGTTTGGCATCGGGTCACGGCACTCCTTCGCGTAGCATGGCGCCATAGCCCAGGGGTACAGACCTCGTCTCCGAATGGGAAGGTTCGGGGTTCAAATCTCATCGGTTGCCGTCAACTTTCATCTTCCAAGTAAGTAACTTACAGGGTAAAATCGGTAATTCGAAAGGGAGGAGCGTAACTAAAGTAAATTAGGGCAAAAAGGAAAATAAAAATTTTCAAATTTGAAAACAAGAACTATACTTTTACTATACAGCAAAACTCACATTTATCTACAGTAACACTGTTAAAAGAGTTATGAAAATTCAGATCGAAATCGGTTGTAAAATTGCAAACGTCATTAGGAAATTTCATAACATTGGTAATTTTACAATATAATATTAAAATTCATAACTAATTTGTGAAAATTAAGAACTGGGATCTTAAAATTAGGAAGTGTTTGCAATTTTGCGATTTGGGATTGTAAAATTATGATCACTCAATCGGAAATGTGAGAACTGATTGCAATTTTCTGATTGCTGTTAGTAATTTTGCGACGTTGGACTGGGAAACGTTCTCTCGACCGGCCACTTGGGCGCTCTGGGTGGGCCGCTGTCTTCACACGGCAGCTTGGCGGGTTGGCCTACCCGGCGTGCAGCAGGCGCCGTCAGCGTTCCCACTCCCACTAGCCAATCAGAGGATCCCCTCCGTTCTCCCCTCTCCCACCGCCCTCCTCCTCCTCCTCCTCCTCACCCCGACCCCGCACAGACGGCACAGCTCCACTCTAACCCCTCTAACCCTTGTGTCAAGCATGGACACCTGTGTGACGACGTGAGTGTTCCTACTTTCGAGTCCTCTAAACTCATGTCATGGTGAGTCTCTTGGCCTTTTACATATTTTATCTTGCTATTCTGCGTCTTACATGTTTAGTCAGAGATAACCTTTTCATGACCATGCTTTCTCGCCTTAATTATCTCAACATGTTAGAGTGTTAATGAACTGACAGTCACATTATTTCAAATCTTCTTTTTTGTTGCAGGTTGTATGAGCTATTTTATTCAATGTTCAGCCCAGGCTACCGCAGTGGTGCTATTCGATAATGGGTATGCTAGCATACGAATATGTCTTCTACTCTATGTTGACAAACCACTTTGTTTTGTTAATTGTGCTTCTTCCTGTCTTGTTTCAGAATCCTTACAGTTTGAATGCCGTTACTGCACTGCTTCATTTTCCACACTTGCGTTGTACCTAAAGCATCTGTCTGATCATCGTCACATCACTTCATTATACCCCTGTGGGGTTCAGGCCTGCAGAAATATTTTGCAAAATGAAAATTGTCTTCGTGTCCACCTCATCCGTGTACACAAGATATTTGTTAAGAAAACTTCTTTCAGAAGTACTCCTGCATCAAATTCATCTGGTAAATATGTTTGCTCAGTGGCTCATTGTTCCATGGAAGTTGACTCTCGAAAAAAACTGAACAGCCATCTTACTGATCATATTAAGCATGGGGTTGACGTGCCATGTCCTCATCGAGGTTGTGAGATTTCTTATAAGAAAGTGAGCTCTTTTTTAAACCATCTTCATAAGTGTCACAAGCCTGTGCTTGTACAGGAGGATTTAGCCCCCCCTAACAGTGGGAACAACGACTCAGTCTCGTTCCCAAGTATTGAAGATGATGCATTGCTTCCGCCACCTGAAATTAACATGCATGTACCAGTTGAAAACAGTCAACGTAATCTGCAAGTGGAGTGCTTGGCACAGTTGTTCATGAAACTGGAGTTTGAGTTGCTTGTGCCTGAATCAACTGTGAACTACATTGCCAAAGAAATTATGGTCATCACTCAAGAAAACTATGTCACTGTTGAGGAAGATGTCCGGAAGCATTTACAGCAGCAGGGTGTGGATCCTAGTGCTATTGATTCAGTTTCTAGAGCAGTGTTTAGTCCATTTAAAACACAGTTTCAGTCCTTACGAAGTAGCTACTTAAGGAAGCAATTTTATAAAAAAATTAATTATTTTGCTACTCCAAAATTGGCAAGGGCCAAGGGCAATTCATCTTACTATTATGTGTCTATTAATGACACTATAGTTGGTCTGTTTAGAGATAAATCTGACTTACATATTCAATTAGACTCTCCTGTCAATGACACTGAGATTTTAAGAGATTTTACGGATGGTGCTCAATTTAAAAGCAACCAGTTTTTTCAGGATAACCCAAAGGCATTAAAAATTATTATTTATCAAGATGGGTTTCAAGTAGTGTGCCCCATAGGTCCTGCAAAGAAGAAACACAAATTTATTGGAATTTATATAAGTTTTGGAAACATGCCAGATTTTTTGAGGACTCATCCTGATAATATTTTTCTAGTTGCTTTGTTGAAGGAAGATGATATGGACCACAGAAAGGTGTATGGAAGAATTGTTGAAGAGCTGAAAAAATTGGAAACAGTTGGAGTTTTTGTGCCTGGTCACGGCATCATCAAAGCCAGCTTAGTTTATGTAGCCGGTGATAACCTTGGAAGTCACTCGCTGGGTGGATTTTATGAATCTTTTGGGAAGGTGATTTACTTCTGTCGTTATTGTTATGTGGATAGACCCAGCTTTTTGCAAAGAAGGTAGCCATTACATTGACTTTCCAAACAGGACACCTGAACAACATGATCAATGCCTTGGACGAACAACAATCCATGGAAAGAAAGGAGTGAAATTCAACAGTGTTTTTAATGAACTGCCTTACTTTCATGTTGCTAATTTTGGTCTAGTACCATGTGCCGGACATGACATGGGTGAGGGGTTTTGTGCGACTGACATGGGACTATATTTACACTACTTTGTGTCTAAAGAGTGGTTCACTTACGAAGAATATGGAACAATGATAAAATCTTTTCCCTATTCAGTCAAAGATAACCGTGACCGACCAATTGAATTTCTGTCCACTTATGAAGTATTGAAAGGGGGCGCCATGCAAATTTTCAACACAATTAGACTGTTTCCATTGATTGTTAAGGATCATATTATTGATAAGAATGACAAAGTGTGGAAAGCTTTCTTGCTTTTAACAGAAATGATTGAAATCATTATGGCTCCAGCTATTAGAAAATCATTCTTGGGCTATTTACATGACATCATCTTGGAATATCTTGACATCAGAAGGGAATGTTTTCCTGATGTAAACCTCTTGCCCAAGCATCACTATGCCACTCACTATCCGTATATCATTCATCTCTATGGCCCTCTAAAAAAAATTTGGACACTCAGGTATGAGAGCAAACATCAATTTTTTAAGAAATGTATCAGGTCTTCAAAAAATTTTATCAATCCCTTAAAGTCTTTGACTACCAGGCATGAACTGTATCAGTGTTACCTGAGATCCGGAGCAAGAGACAGGTGCACTATTTCTGCATCCTCATGCAGCGAGTTCAATCCATCTATGTACTCAAATGATATTCAAGTTGCTCTGAGTGAAGGTGGTTTACCTTTGCAAATTGAAGAGTGTGCCTCAGTCAAAGTGAAGGGGACACTCTACCAGAAAGGCAACATTGTTGTTCTCTCTCAAACTGCCTACCAAAGTGATATTCAGATGGCCAGAATCGTCCTCCTGTTGTCTTCTGGTGAGACAGTCTTTTTTGTTGTAGAAGTCCAAGAAGTGGAATTTATCC